AAAGCTATTTGGAGTAGACCTTGTTCTCCGTCTCCCCTGTCTTGCCAATGCTGTAGAGAAAGCACATAGCACAGGGGTCTGTGGAACAACCAAAGGACATCACCTGATCAGGAGATATCTGTATTGCTATATGCTGTTGGAAAAATAGAAGAATACTGTTCTCCTTTGCCATGTTAGGAGGAATTTTGTAAAATCCAGAAAGGTATTTGTGTACTTGAACTGCAGTGAAAATAGGTGCATGCCTATCAGTTATGCTTTTGAAATTGTCCCGCATGTACTTCATTGCACTTTCAGACTTCCTAAATATTTCCCTGCAAGCCACAAGGATGAGAAGGTATCAAATACAATCACATCCCCATGACATACGATTTGGGAACAGGCACTGCCATCACAATATTTTTATATAGTGCAGAGTGGCTATATTCTTAACTAAAAGCACAAGCAGCACAAAATAAAAAAAAGGGCAGCAGTCCAGGTCACTCAGAGACGCTTTTCAGCACTTATTAAAATGAATCATTTCACTTTTGTTTTTATGTTACCTTGTGGCAAACATCCTTCCCTGCCTGCTATCTTGCAGCCTTCAGCCCCAGTGTGCCCAATTATCTACTGAATGATGGGTTCTGGATGCTCAGCCCAGGTACTCTGTTGGAAGGAGGACCCTGCAGTATCATCTTTACTGACTTTGAATTTTGGGTAGAAAGTTCTGGTTCTCTAAGAGCTCAGTGACTTGCAACCTCCAGAACCTCCTCTGAGCCACCAGGCTCTTCCTGCCTGTGCGGGAAGATCAGGAGCAAGTGGGGGTTTGTAGTTGCATTGCTGCCGCCCTACGTTCCAGAGAGATTTTTGCACCTCACTGGCTTCTGCTGCAGTCTTCCACACTGAGGTAAATGTGAACTGACACAGCAGAGATCTAAATCAACATCCCCCTCATTAGACAAAATACACCCTAATCCTACTTTTGTTCCTCATAGCAGGAAAAATAGACGAAAGTATCTATGTTAACATTAATGACCAGCCTGCAATTCTCCCTGCTGCTAATACACAGCGTCAGATCCACGCACTGGGGAATCCAGAGATCAGTTCCTTTGGCATCCATCTGGCTTCTGTTCTGATCTTACCCACGTTTATTAGCAGCGCATCATTGGAACTCAGTGGCAATTAACCCTCTTTGTAAAACAAGCTAGCCACAGTTCTAGGAGTTGTCTGGGTAATTAGTCTTGGCCGTCATTTACAGCTTGTTTGGGTGCAAGGTGCATCAGACCACAGCAGTACAGGATAAGCCACCTAGATCCTGCTGAGGTACCACTTGCTTGGCCCTGCTCTTCCCTGGCTGGACACGCTGTGCTCTCAACGTTATGCTGGCTGTAGGTACATATATGCCTTTAGCATCTATCCCAGAAGCAGATTATTATTAAAAAAAAAAACCAAGCTGGATTGTCATTAAGCATTATTTTCTTCTTAGAGCAGTTTGAAAAATGTTTGAAACAGTTTTTCCAGTAGAAAAAAACCCATTTGATTAAAATCAGTATTTTTTTTTCAAATGGTACCATTTCCTGTAAGAGGAAAGCTCTGCATTCCAGCCCACCCTAATCCTTTCCTTCTTTCTGTGTTATAACAAAGAGACTCCCTCTTTCCTATTGCCTCCTTTGTCACGAAGAGCTTGCATGTTCTCTTCAAAAAAATCTTTGTTGTTCCCTGTATATTTCTCAGTCCCATTACATATCCCTTCCACAAGGCTGCACAAACCTGTTCCAGCTGCATCCCAGCCCTGGCCTCTAGCTTTATATTCAGGAGCTGTTATGCAAGAATCACCAGCTGACACCCCCCC